CAAACAGGGTTCTAGAGGGGAGGGGGGTCAGGGGATGGGTTAGCCTGGTGATGGGTATTAAAGAGGGCACGTTCTGCGTGGAGCACAGGGTGTTATGCACAAACAATGAATCATGGAACACTACATCAAAATCTAATGATGTATGGTGATTAACATAATAAAAAATTTTTTTAAAAAAAGTCACTTATAATGATTTTTGCTCTGTCACTATCAGAGACCTTATATGACTCTTGGAACACTTCGAGACCAAGTGATATATCCAGATGGAAGAGAAGATCAGAAAAGGAAGGGGATATCTGATCTAGTAAGGAAACGTTTATGTCCTAGACCTACTGGAAATACTCATTTCAGATTCTTTATCTTAATCAGATTAGTTAAGTATTTTGACTGCCAGGTAGTTTATCCTACCCTGTAAAACCTTCTAAAACCTTGTCATTAATTATAATTTTCCAAGTTGAGGTAAGATATTAACTACTCTGCTTAAATATGGCTTAGTGAGTATTTAACCTTGTCTCTTTACACTGTTGTTTTTTTTTTCCTCATTGCCCTCATCCTATAATTATGTACAGTAGTGTTATTCCTCTTTAAGCTACTAGATATGTTTTGTCAGAGTTAGTATAAATAGGAAGTGAGGATTCAGGGCTAGGGCTATCTTTGTGTCACACTCTTTTGTGAAGTGATATTGGCAATAGAATTATAGTGATTCTAGTTTAAAAAATAAAGCAAGATAGAGAATGTTGGCTTACGTTAAGTTTGATTTCACCTTTAATCATTGTGCTGAAAGGTACTAAAGGAATATTTAGATAATGTCCAGTTGGGTCATATCCTTGAACGTGAAGGAGGCTGGGACAGTGTTCAGGATTGGATGGATGTCCTCAGTGGTGGAGAGAAGCAAAGAATGGCGGTATGTATACTCTGAACACATTGCACGACAGCGTAACTGGTTGCATAAGGTCACTCTTAAGAGTCCAGTATTTTGATTAATCAAGGTACATAATTTTAATCTTTTTTATTTAGCAGTTGTTACAGTATAGATAGTTTAAATGATAATAAAAGTGCTTCAAAATATATAACTTGCATGTGCATTTAGAATTCTGAAAAATTCCTAAGTTTTCCAGTTACGTACTACTAATCCATTGGGGATTAATTAAAGAAACTTTCTAGCATATTGATCCTGGGTTATATGGTAGTCCAAGATGTCTTAATATCTTTTCCCTACTGACCCCTCACTGAAGCTGTTGTCTCTGAAGTATCTGAAGGTGTTAGAGATGATTTACTCTGTTCCCACTTTTTTTTCTGCTCCTGCCCTCCCCTCTGTCGTTACATCTATCCTGGTTTCAGGGCTCAGTATCTACTACCCAGAATTATTTAGAATTTTTACACTTTCCTAATAGAGGCCTTTGCAAGGAGCTGTTTTAATTTTATGATTGTCTAAACTTATTCCTGATCAAACATGACTACAAAACACTGCATATTAAGAGTGATGCCTTGAATACTCTGTTAAGAGGGTTAACTTTTAAAGAGTCATTTTCTAACTATGCATACCATAGTTTGAGCAGCTGCAGAGGAATTTTTTTTTTTTCAGAGTGTTAACCTTGTAGAAATTAGAGAAAACTATAGCCAAAGAAAAACAGCAAAAGAAACGGCTTATTGCTGAATCGTTTACTCATTATCTTTAAATTATATTCTCCCTTTTTTGTTGCCTCTTATTCCCTGATAGTGCATGTTATTTTTCCCAAAACATACCCATTCTGCATGAACTTAGTATCAACCTGATACTGTGATTTTTCTGGCTAGTGCTGTAACATGAGATTAATCTGTAGAGGAATGAATCATAAAAGAGATGTCAGCCATACTCAAAATGGAAATTGGGTGGTAGGAGTGAGAATCTGAAGTGATTGAGATTTCTGGAATCAATTAGAAGATGACTATAGAAATAACTGCAAGTCAGGAGAACAAATTTACATTCCTGTTACTATGACTTCAAAGAAAATGGAAGGATAGGTCAAGATTCACAGATGCACACAGTGTAAATCCAGAGAAAGAAAAATAAATGTGTTTAACTAAGGAATCCTGTGTGGGGGTTATAAAGGTACAGAGGGGATAGTTTTTATTTGAAGATAAGAAATTCAAGGCCTAGAGGAATGAAATGGTATCTTGGGGAGAGGGAAGGAGTGGAGGGAGGAGCCCTGTGAAACCAGATGAACTGTGATAGAGTTGGTTGGGACATGGGGAGACTCACCCATGGCACTATTGTGCGACCAAGCCGTTGGCAGTTGTGTTCTGGATAGACCAATATTTGGAGAATTGGTTGTGAAATTTAGAAGAGAGCATATTCTTTTGCTACCTTCAAAAGGTTTATGGGGAGGCGGGGAAAGCTAATACAACAGATGTCGAGGTTGGTGAAATTGGGCAAAGTTTTTGTATGGTCATTTTACCGTCTTACAGTTTTTGGGTAGGCTTGAAAGCTTACAAAGTAAAAAATTGAGGTAAGTAAGGACATAATTTTTATAAATTATAAAAGTTAATAATTTATAAATTATAAAAATTAGCATTTTTTAGGAAGAACAGACTTGAAAGGTCTAACCACCCAAAACAGTGAATATGTAAGAATGGAGGTTGGTTGGTGTAAACAGAAGTTTTGGGTAAGGAAAGTCAGATTTGAATGGGAGGGAATGGAATAATACTACTGAATAAAAGGGAGGTCTGGTGAACACATTTCTAAAATACCTTGAGAAAAGTCAGTAAATGTAGGGAAATAAGATTATTCTATAATTTTGGTGAAAAAACTTAATCATGGTATAATTTCCACAGAGTTCACTACTAGCTGGGAATCTACTCTTTCAAGGCACTGAGATAGGTGCCTGCCCTTAATAATCTAGTTAGGAGATCTAAATATTCTCAACTAACTGCAACACAAGGCAGTCTTCAGTTCTAGCTATCAAAGTATACTGGGATAATGATGAGGGAAGGATTGGTTTTGAATGGCAGACTCTATGTAATTGTCCCAACAGCCCTGGGAATTAAGGTACAAAGGAAAGACTTGTAGGGCTTAAGTAGCCTCCTAATGTCACGTGGCTACTGAGTAGCAGAATGGAGATTCAAGTGCAGGCGGGTCTGAGGTTAGACTTGTTGCTCCTGACCAGTACATTATATAGCCTCCGATGTGCAGGTAGACTGTATCCAGTTCTCTTCCCTCAGTGCCCCTCAGAGTCTAAAGTAATATTTTCCTTACCTCCTTTGCACTCCTTTGGGCCCAGCCATTACCAGCCAGGGTTGCTCTACCCAGTATCGTAAGTTGCAGTATCTTATTTCTCTGACTGATAGTTCTCTTTCCCACTCCACTATGCTTGTTCTTCCTATAGCAGTGGGGCTTTTTTTAAAATTATGAATTATGAAAAAGTATGTATGATAGAAAAGTTGGAATATTTATAAAAGTATAAAGGGCCAAAACCCCCTTACTAGAGATACCGCTGTCATAAAATTGTTAAGTGTTTTTTAAAACCAATTTTTTAATTAATTTTTCTTTTACCTAATTGGCAACTGTCTCCCTTCTTCAGACTCGCTGATATTTTGAATATTGACCCCTCCCTTTTCTTATGATTGATCAGTCCCCTTCTGACTCTGCTTCCTTTCCTGTACAGTACAGACTTAATAATCCAGGACCTGGCACATAGGAGGTACTCAGGAGGTATTTCTTAAAGGAATGAACAAATGATCCTTTCCCCTTAACTTCCTTTCCTCTTTTTGTTTCCTCATATTACCTCAGCTTCAGTCCAAGAACAGTTCTTTGCTTTGGCTTTCTGTACATAGGCTTCTGAGCGCAGCTGAAAGATCAGAATGATGTGATTTGGTGCCACACACTTGCATGGTTTTCAGTCTTACAGGGGCTCACAGTGTTCTTTGGTGATCATTTTACTTACTTTTGCCCCTCTCTCTCATTTTTCATGATAATCATTTAAAAACTACCAGTCTCAGGCTTTCTACCCCATTTCCTACTCCCAGCAGAACAGCTCACCTCTTGCTTAAAGAAAAAAGAGAAGCTGTTACCATGTCAGTCACTGACAGCTCATTTTTATTGAGCGCTTAATAGATAGGTGGTAGGCTAAGTCCTTTACATTGAATTCTTCTAAGTCCTTTGAGGCAGGAACTGTTGAGTGCCCCCTTGTACAGAGGAAATTGAACTATAGCACAGTGAAGTAGGCTGCCAAGCAAAGATAGCTAGTAAAGCTTACCTCTGCGGGGGCGGGGGGTGGTGGTTGGGGCTTGTCAGGCTCAGGTGGTAGTTCCACACTAGTGTTAAGTACTTATTCACTTTACAGTCCCTCTCATATTGTGGTATCAAGTACTGACAGCATAGTGGGAGAGAGACACATGAGACGATTGCCATGTAATACGCCAAGTGTGATGATGAAGGTATGCAGAGTTCCATGGGAACACAGGGGGAGAGGCATTTGTGGAATGCCTTCAGATAATCAGTCCTCTTAATTAAGTTCACACTGAACTGTCCTGACCTCTCTCCTTCTGTCTGTGGAGGATATGTCATCCATCCTCTTGAGAAAGGCTAAATGTCTCCATGTTTTTGGACCCTCTCTCCTCTGACTTTATCATATTCTTGCCTTCAGTTATGCATGTGTGCGGATACACATACCCTGTATTTATTCTCTTCTGGTCCTTTCAGAAAGACATAAAAAATATGAGGGTGGGAGTGTGAAAGGGAGGAGAAGAAGGGAGGACTTGTGGCCTTCTAGCTTGAGCAGCTGTTTGATAGTGTTATTTTCTGAAATGTTTAAGGTGCAGTGGGGTGGATGGATGGACTTTAAGGGGAAAATTCGATAACTGAGTAGAAATATCAAATAGGAATTTTTATTTAGCAGTCTAGAAATTTGAAGAGAAGGATGTGCAAGAGATATGTATTGAGAGTTCACAAATGTAAATAATATTTGGAATCATGAGATTCAGTCAGATCACTCAGGGAGAGACAATATAGGATAAAGAGGAATTGGTCCTGAGGAACCCCAACATTAATAGTCAAGAGAAGAAGAAAATGCTGGAAAAAGAACTGAGGAAGCAGTCTAAGAAGTGAGAAGAAACGTTAAGACTGTGGTTTCACTGTCACTTTCTCAAGAAGGAGGAAGTAGTCATCTGAATTGCATGTAGCAGAAAAGATAAATTGGGTAAGGATAGAAAAGTGTCCATTGGTCTTGGCACATGGCGATCATTGCTAGGGGCAAATGACCAATTGGAATATCAGTTAGACAAAGGATCAGAGTAAATAATTCCCAGAAAATAAAGTACATATGGAAAGTAAATGAGAAAATGTTCAGCATTCTTGCTAATTGATGAAATGGAAGCTATAATAATCTTGGTGTTAATTTTTACTTATAAAACTAGCAGAGCCTTTAAAAAATGAGCACATCCAGTATTAACCTCAGGGATATAAAACAGGTGCACTCAAAAATTATTGGGAAATATTAATTGGCAGCTTAATATTAATTGACATTACTTAAGCAACAGAATGTTTAGAAATAAACACATTTTTGCACTTAAGCCATCTGGAGTTTGAATTCTAAGATTTGGTTAAAATATGTACCCTCTAATCTTGTTTAGAAAACTTTCTCTAATAGTTTAAAACTCAACTTCATTTCACATCAGCCTTAAATGTTTTGGATTAACTCTTAATAGTCAATTTCCCATGTGTTACATTTTCCCCTTTGTTCAGGAAGATAGTAAAAACACACAAGTTTTTTTTGTTTTATTGTTTTTGTTTTGGGGAAGTAGGTTTTTTGAGTTAAAATAATTTTCATACTTGGTTTTACAAGACTCAGTGCATATTTAACTTAAGGTAAATCTATTTTAGCTTATCAATTTCTGCATGTGGTTATACAAAATATTTCTTTTTATGCTTTAGATGGCAAGATTATTTTATCATAAACCCCAGTTTGCCATTTTGGATGAATGCACAAGTGCAGTTAGTGTGGATGTGGAAGGCTACATTTATAGTCATTGTCGAAAGGTAAGCATTTCAGGTTCTCAGTTTGAGGGTCCCTGTCATTCTTCTTGGTTTACTCTGTGTCCAACCAAATATCTATCCAAAGAGAAGATTTCAAGTTATTAAGTAACAAAATGACTATCAAAGGGTGTTCTATCTGCTTTAATAAAGGTTTCAAATGATAATAGATATGAGTTAAAAAAAATTGTAAATGAATTCTGTGTATAATTCTCTTTAGCTGTATCTTAGATTTGAAACAAATACTGTTTTTAAATTTACTTCCCTTTTACCTCATTCCCTATACTCAGAGTTAATAAACTGATATTTTCTTAATGTGTTCAGATTAAGAATGAAACCTAAATATCATTTGTTTTTTTTAATTAGGAAAACTTGATAATAGTCATTTGGTAATTCAGTTTGTTTTTTTTTTCCTCTGGCCTGGGCAACATTTTACCCGTTTCCTTTGGTAGCCTCTTCTGAGGCTATGCTTATTGATAGCATTCTTTAACTAGTTACTAGTTCTGTGGTGATTGTCACACCATCTATACTCTTGCTGGATTTTGAGAAGAAGAGCAGTTTATCCTAACTGTTTTACAGTGTTATGTAAGTGGAGGAAGTGCAGGAGTCTTTCAACAAGTTGTAAGTGTTATTTGGGTGTTTACAGTAAATATAAAAAGGTCATGTTGCATATTTACAGTATGAATTCATACTATTCAAAGTGTGGTCATTGATCAGCATCTTCTGGGAGCTTGTTAGAATTTAGACTCTCTGGCCCTACCAAATTAGAGTCCACATTTTAACCAAATTCCCAGAAGATTCAAATGCACATTAAAGTTTGAGAAGCATTGGTATAATGACGGAAGACTAAATTTGCTACATTAATCTTTGTAGGAAGATGTTTTTGTACTGATTTTATTTCTTTAATGGTTTGTTTTCTATTTTTGAATCAGTTTTGGTCATTTATAATCTTTTTATGTATCTGTTCATATGAACTTTCAGATAAATCTGAAAGTTTTGGTATTGGAGGTGTGGTCTCTATTTGATCAGTGATTTAGAGGCTCTTTGCTGGTAGTTTTGACCATGTGATGTCCCCTTATATTTAGTTATAGGCTATATGTCCCCACATAAGATGCAATTTTCCTATACAGATTCCATTTAAAAGAAGAAAAGTCTTATGGGGTCCCCAGTTGATAGTTAAAATTGTATTACTATAATAGCAGTTGAATATGTATAAGCATGAAATGAGATATGAACTCTTTGAACTTAGAGCTCAATTACAGCCATAAAACAAATATAAATTTACAAATTAAGTATAGACAAAACAGTTTCAAGTTGGTAACATTAAAAAGAACTCTGATACTGTTTTGCTGAAACTAAGCCACCAGTTTGGGATTTAATTATGGAAAGATACAGTCTGAGGTCCAGATCTTATATTTTGAATTTTGCTTATGTATCTTACTTATGTAATTCTATCAGAAAGAATGCTTTCATTAAGTTGAGATCTGATCCAATTACTGTAGAATCATAAAAAATAATATCTGAAGTGAGCTTTCAAAAATAAAGTAAGTGTTGTACCATTGAAATGTTTTACTCTGATAACTTATTTTGTCATGCAGTTTGTAACCAATTTGAGAATCTTTCCACTTGGCATCAAAGTTATGGCACATTAAAAGTTTTAAGTGCTATAACTTTATTTATTTGTTTGAGAGAGAGAGTGGGGGACGGAGGAGCAGAGGGAGAGAAAGAATCTTAAGGGCTCCACACCAGCACAGAGCCTGACGCGGGGCTCCATCTCATAACCCTGAGGTCATGACTTGAGCGGAAATCAAGGGTCGGACACTTTACTGACTGAGCCACCCAGGCACCCCAAGTGCTATCACTTTAAATAATCACTTGGTACCAGCAGAAGTACAAACACAGACTTGGGCACTTAAATCTCATGGTAGAAATGATCCAGATTATACTTAGGCTAATTTTTTAAAAATTACCAAAATGAAAATAAAATTAGAACTCATAATGGAATTATCTGGATACTCTGGCATTTATCTCTGTCAGCCTTGAGAGATCCATTTTAAGAAACCTCGATGTAGAGCAGGGTTTCTCAGTCTCATCTCTGTTGACATTTTGGGTTGGATAATCCTTAGTTGTGAGGAGCTGTCCTTTGCTTTCTGGGAGTTTTTGTTTTTTTAATTTTATTATGTT